TGAGCTATGGTGTCAAGTTACAGCTATACTTAGGATGGAAATAAAAGTGGTACATTGCTGAGACTAGCAAAGTGAAGTCTCTTCCTTGAACAAGGAATTAGTAATTGCAAAGAGGAGAGGTTGAGGTTAAACAACAAACAAAACAACCCATCTTTCTGTTTCTCTAAGATACACTCAACCGAAGTCACTATCACTCCACTCTTGTCATTCAATAAACTACCATCGTCAAATGTCCAAAAATGTGTGCACATTGTCCTCTGAACACTACCCACCTTTCACAACATCGACTCTCCTCATTCATAAAAATTCCAGAAAATGGGCTTAAATGCACACAATTATTGATTGCACACAGGTTCTCAATGTCCTAAAATTCAGGTGAATATTTTTATAAGTGAGGAGGGTCGATGCTGTGAAAGGTGGGTAGTGTTCAAAGGACAACGTTCTGGCCCTCATTCTGGCTCCTGGGCCCTAGAAACTTTTCAAACCTCTTAACTCCACTTTCATTTTAAAATGTGATAAAGTCATTTTCTTAGGTATTTTCCTAAGAAATGAAAAAGTTGAAGTATTACCAAAACTACCTTGAAAACACCTGGGGGAAGGCACAATGTTGAAGCCTGACATACCACACACTATCTTTCACTACTCCAGCATTGCCAATCTCTCCCCCACTGTTGGAAACGATTGCTGTTGACTCAAATGAACACCAGATGAAGCGGTTGGCTTGCACTCAGGACCCATGTTTGACAAAAGTGTGCTTTCTTTGGAAACACTGACACCTTACTCAGCAAAGTGAGAAGCTTCTGTTGTGAAGACAACAGTGCAGATGTACATCTCCCATTTCTCCAACTGCTGTTTCTCCACCTGCTAAGAGAAGCAAATTATATCCTCTCATTCCTACCTGACTCCAATGAATGTAGGAAGATAAGTGTGGGTATGTGTTATAGAAAACTTTATGAAGCCCAAGATACTGAAATAAAATCTCCAGAATCAATCTGCCAATTCAACACTAAATTTTATGTGGCATTTGCATTAATGTAGTATTCCTATACAGAATCACAAGGCTACAAGTGTTCTTAGAAGAATACCCTCCAATTGCCTACCCAATGTAGAATCCCTGAGATAGGGAACTCACTTTTTAACAAGGTGACCTCATCTGTGTCACACTTAGAAACTTTTCATTCAAGGCCAGGAGTCGTAGTGCATGGGGTGGCTTCAGCTGCTGGGGAAGTGAAGATTGGGAAGATCATGGTTTGAAGCCAGCCTGGGCAAAAAGTTAGCAAGACTCCATCTTAATCAATAAGCCTAATAGTGGTGCTCACCTGTGATTCCAGTTACAAAGGAGGCTGTAGATAGGAGGACTGCAGTCTAAAGTTGATCCTGGGCAAATGTAAGTCTCTACCTGAAAAATAAGTAACATGAAAAAGGCTGAGGGTATGGTTCCAATAGTAGAGCATCGGCTTGGCAAGCAGGAGGAAGAGTTCAAACCCAAGTACCAAGAAAAAAAAAATTCATTCAATGATAGATTTCTGCTTCTTTACAATTATCTCTGATTTCCATGTCTTTTATAGTCACAAAGTATTTTTCCCATGTAACACTTCAGAAATTTGAGGGCAGCTGTCATATTTTTCTCTTCTCACAGGAACAAAGTGTTCATTTACCATTCTAGGCACCTGCCACTACATATACAAATTTAGCAGTGTCCCCATTATAGAGTGGGCAGGACCTATTCTGACTGTAGATGAGATTCCTCTAAATAAAGTCTTTTCTGTCCTGGAATAAGAGCTTCAAATTCAGAGTAAATTCATCATAGGGATACAGGCTAAGTAGCTTTTTCTTAAATGGAAATCTCAGGTGTGCTTTTTACTGATACAGAGTATGAACAAAAACAAATCTACGTGAATTCCACAAAGAAGAAATTTAAAAGAAATTTTTAAAGCTCCCCGACAGTTAACATTTGAAATTTCTCTAGGCCTTGCATGCATACCATTCCTAGAATTTATTTTCCAGGTATCTAGACTGAGCAGACTCAAGATACTGAGGCATGTTTTCTAATGCCCACAGAAAATCAGGAATGTCATGCTGTTTCTCAGAAAACTATCTCCTGGTAAACCCATTAACCTTAACATAGTTAAGGAGACTAAGATCATCTCCCCAATAGTCTAACTGCTCCTGAATAAATGAAGTCCTCTAAATTTCATAATTCCATGGTTCTTAAAAGACCAATGGCTGAATGATTCTGCTAAGGATATACATCTCTCTGTATCTGAACTGTCAAATGACTAGGATATATAGCAGATATAGGCTAAGATATATACTATGAAATCTGCTCATAATTTTTGCTAAGAGTTGACAAGTTTAAAAAATACAATCTAGAAAAATTACTCATAGTAGTGGAGGAAGTTGGGAGAAAAGTGCCAAATGGGCTTTTAATGAGGATGTCTCAGTGTGAACATATGTAAAATGATTGCTGAGATATAGGCATTAGAATGAACAAAAATGATCAAGCTGAGTTTCTGAGAATGCTTATAAGTGTACCAGGTCATAGTGATTATTTATACAATGAACAGCTTATTCATGAAGGACCATTTTGCTCACTGTGAAGAGGTCAACGTACTCAGCAACCCCAACACATTTAAACTAGACAAAACATACCAACATGTTAGTCAGAAATATAGCTTTATTATTATAATATTTCATAATTTTAAAAACTTTTTAAATCCTGGGAACAGAATATTCCAACTTTTATACAACTGACTGGCCCTGCAGAATACTGGAAAACATTGTCTAAGCCATCTGAACTTTGCCTATAAGAATCAGTAATTAAGTCTGGGAAGAAAGAAAACAGACAGAAAGAACAGTTCAAATGAAGATTTCTTCCCTACATAACAGATAATAAAATTCTTTCTTCAGTTTAACCTTGAACATGTTTTCCCAGAAACTTTGGTGATTTCTTCAAAATGCGATTGCCTCAACTCTCAGGTTGATTGCTTATGGGGACAAATAAGATATTTTAAATAGGACATAAATGGAACATGGCACATGGCTCAGGCTATGACATGTAAGTGGAGTATCCCTCTGAGAGAGCCAGCTTCCATATTTCAACAGTAAACTTATTGTCTCAAAGGAAGTACAATATACATAACACATTTCCTTGTATGGGGGTCAGAATTTAGCTGAAACTTAAAAAGAGAATTTTAATTTAATAAATGAATCTCAAAACTCTATGTCTTATATAATACACAGAGAGTAGCTATAACATTACAGTGCTTTCCAAATACCACTGGGTACCACTGTCAAAAGAAGGCTGACATGCCCTCTAGGCATGTTAGATGAACATTTAAAAATGTGAGTTACTTGAAATAAAATGGAAAAAAGTATGGTTATGCCATCTTCAAAAACAAGTTGTTGTCATTGCACACACGTTACAGGACAAATAGCATGCAATACAACTAACAAGTCATGTTTTAAGATGGAAAAGCTAAAATGCAATGGTATAAGCATCAGTAATACAAGCATCAATAATGAATAACTTTGGAGGGGATTAATTATCCAAATAAACAGCAACATTACAATTTTTACAATGTTAGTCTAAACAGTGATATTCACAGCAATGTTTTTCCCACTTGATAGCTGCCTATAAAACACATGAATGGTCCACCCCTACAAGTCAAAAGTCAAAGTGAAGACTCAAAAATCAACATTTCCACCATGATAGGCTCAAAATATTTGAAAATTATGTTACACTTTTCAATTTACTGGCATTTTAAGTAACTACTTAATTACCTATTTTAATGTACTGCTAATCTGATGCTTTTGTAATAACAATCATAACTCTACTGTTAATTAGATTATACTTTAATTTTTTAAAATAAGTAAACTTATAATAGTTTTAAAACCACCCACCACAAACACACACTTTCCCCATGAGTATTTAAAAATAAATATACCTGACATATATATTTTATATGTTTACTATGTATGTATATATGTATATATTTGTGGACAAAATTATTCTTATTTCTAGAAGGACGTCACTACTTTCAAACTCTGCATGAGACCTGATTATACTGCTAAGTTTAAGGAAAAATATGTGAAAATTCATTCTAGGAGAAAATTTTAAAGCAGGAAATTCTTAAAAGATTGTTCTTTATGGGAACAAAAGCCATTTTGGGAGGACAGTGTCAGACTCTGGATCTTACATGCATTGTTTATTTCAGAAATTACTTTAGAATGCACTGTACAGTGAATACCCCAGAATCGTGGTTGAAAGGTAAGAAAGCAAATTTAGTCATAAAAGGGCATAGAAGCAGAAGGAGGCAAAGTGAGATGCTGTGTGGAAAAGCCAAGCCATTGAAGACAAGGTCATGCCCACAGTTAACAGAGAGCAAGTTGCTAACATTACCAGGGAAGCAGGTCTTAGAAGAGGGCTGAGCCACACCCGCATCATCACATCTAGGATGGTCCCTCTGCTGGGATTCCAAGCACTCAGACACTGCATCAATTATAGTACAGATCACTAGCATTTTACTTTCCTCCCCAACCACAGCCATAGAAGCAGCTACGTTGGCAGCACGGTCTTAGGGTGCAGACTACTAGGGTGTAACAAAATCTGAATAAACATGCATATAAGAAAACAAAACCTAAATCAAACAAACTGAAATGCAATCTGTCAAAATGAAGACCTGAGTCTGACTGAACAAGTCCCTTAAGCAACCCAAAGATTGAAACTTTAATTAACCAGAATCCTAAGGTGTGTGTGGGGGGAATTACTATTTGGGAGTTTTCCAAATGAACTGAAGGGAAGGTTAAACACACAGATATTTTTATTTCACTGCTGTCAACAGAACTTTACACTCCCCCTCCATGCCTCATGGTTTAGACAACAGTGGGCACAGACAAAACCCTGAGCCTGACATCCTGTGGCCCTGGTCCTGAGGATTAATGGCCACTGCATAGGAGCCCAGATGCCAGGACTACTGAACACTGAGCCAATTATTTTAAAAGTTGGAGATTTGTTTTACTAAACAATTAGGAGAAGACTACCGCAATTTTTTTCCTTTCTGTAATTTGCCTCTTGCATCTAAAGGAGGTTGTAATAAAACTGGTTCACTGAGCTTTCCCTTTGCTAAATTCTGGTTAAATGAATTGCTTTATGTGTTATGTTCTTTGCTTTTCTAACACATCTTAATATGGGATGGATCCAAAAGGACAATATTATTGGCCCCTAGAACAATGTTCCTCAAAGCCCAGTGACAATGTTCCTGAGCCACCCACTCTTTCAGATGATGTTCACAATCGCTGTTGGTTTCTTTTTAGCCATTTTGGGCCTGATGTTGCCTTTCCGGCTAAGTCCCAGGAGCTCGCCTTTCTTGGAAGGTCTGCAGAGTTCTCTTGAGGACTCGCCCTGTTCATGAATAGACTTGGCAGGCTGCATGCAGGCTCTGTCATCCCTGGCTTTCTTCAGGTAGCTCCTTCCCTTTACATGGAAATGGGCCTTGAGATCAGGGTGGCTACACACAGAATGTGGGTGCCCTCGGCTTCTGCAGAGATCAGGTGGGAGTGAAGAGGAGATGAGATGAGCAGAAAGACTTCTTTAAACCTTAAAAGAACAATCACTACTTATGGCAGAATCACTTTTACATCCCATCATGGTGAGCAAGCTTCCACAGAGACTAGTTGCAGATACTGGTATTTCTCATCCAAAACTTTCCTGCAACCCCTCCCCCCCATGAAATTATCATGTGACACTAAACTTCCAGGGAAATATTACCAGTCCCATTGCTAGTGATGAAACTGAGGCATGAAAATTTAAATGTTTACCTAGAACAATACACAAAGAGATAGGTCCTGAATCCACATCTCTTGACTCTAAGTAACTACGAGCAGACTCAGAAAAATCTACTGTGTAGATATTATAAAGTATATAATCTATATAAATAATGCAGTATACATATTACATTAGTAGTACTACAGTGCTATTATGGCTATACTATACCACAATAAGAAAAGTTATAGCAGATAATACTATAAAAATACTACTTTAGAATATCTGAAAGTTACATCAACATTTTATAGTCACACACACAGGCATATAAAATGCAACTGGGAAACACACAATACAAGTATTATCCAATGGCCCAAGTATTAAAAAAAATATACATACAGGCATCTGGGTTTCCTATTTGAGCAGATGTCTGTAAGCTGAAGGGAAACGAGTAAAAAAAAAACATTACTTCAATTGAAGGCAGGATTGGCTTTTAAAATCTTACTTTTATTTTTAAGAAATTGAATTTGCTTTAAGGAGATGAGTAACTGTGGTTCCAATGGCACCATCTATTACATCAGAGGACAAGAACACCTCAGCTTCTACTTACTCAGGGAGCCTCTGTGAGTAGTTGTTCTGTTTTCCAAGAAGTTTATATCAGCAGGTCTCAAAAATTTCAAGATGCCAAAGAGCTCCCCAATAGATCAATGTTTGAAGAAACTTTTTTTTTATGGTGGGCTGAGGTTTGAACTCAGGGCTTCACGCTTGCAGAGGAGGCATTCTACCACTCAAGCCACATGTTTTTAAAAGCTAGACTGATGTGCAATTATTTCTTGTGTGATCAGGCTATAGTTGTAGCTAATTTACTACAGCTATGACTGGTCACAAAGTCTCAACTAAGAGGAAATTGGCACAAAATGTTTATTGTCTAAAATACATCACTTCTAAAATGAGAACACAGAAAGACAAACCCCATAAATGTCCCTGAGGCTATCCATCATTGAGATTATTTCTACTCCAAATAGCTCATGTAATAAAATATCTGTACACACTTTGGTGGTTGGGCTTAGAATGCCTTCATTTGCAGAATAAATTGATAATTATCATTTGTGATCCAGATGTCACCATGCAGCTTATAGGCAAACCCAGTGTATTCCCAAGCCTTCAGCTCCTAACTTTCTTCATGTAGCTCTCACTAGATGGTCATGCCTCATTAGCAGGCAGATCAACCAAAGAAAAACAATAAAATGGGGAGAAAATGCCACAGTAGTATTTGGGTTAGTGTGGCCAAGACTCACTTGTGGGGGATTGGTTCTAGGTCCTGGAACTGCAGATACCAAAATGCATGCATGCTGAAGTCCCTTGTATAAAACTGCATGTAACCTATATACTTTAAACCATGGACATCCGCCCATATACTTTAAACCATGTTTAAATTACTTATAATACCTAGTAAAGTGTAAATGCCATGTAAAAAAGCTGTTTATACCATATTGTTTAGAGAACAATAACCAAAAAAAAGATCTGTACATGTGAGTACAAACTTAATTTTTTTCCGCAAATACTTCAATCTGCAGTTGGTTGAATTCATGGATGTGAAACCCACTTACAGAGAACCAACTGTATTTCTAAAATACAAGCATAGTGTTTCAGGTTGCTTCAGGCCTAGGGGAAATGGTCACCTTAGCTTTTCAACTTTCCCTTTCTGTAATTAACAGCACTGTATACCCACTTGTTTAGACCAAAATTTTGTATTCATTCTTGATTCCTCTTTTCCCTATACCCACCAAATCTGTAATTGTGCAGCAGGGCCATCAGGTCTTGTCAATTCTACCCCAGAAAACATCATATACTTATCCCTTCCCTCTCCTTCTTCCACTCTCTCCCAGCTGCCATCCCTCTCATCTCATATAATAATAGCTTCCTAACCACATATAATAATAGCCTCCTAGCCCACCTCATATAATAATAGCCACCTAGCCCACCTCATATAATAACAGCCTCATTCTGCACCCCTCCAGTCCTGAAAATCTTCCAACGACTTCCCTGTGCACTGGGAACAGTTTCAAACTCCTTATGTGACCCTAAAAGCCCAGCATAATGGAACCTTCCCAACTCTGACTTCACCTCTTACTACTTAAGCATGCTAAGCTTGCTTCCTCCTATGGCACATGCATTGCCATTTCCTTGCCTAGAACATTCTACCTCTAACTTTTCAAGAGCTGCATCTTGCTTGTTATCCAGGTCACAGCACAAATGCTGCCTCCTCAGCAGGACTTTTCCTGGACACCAATCCAGAGTCACTCTCTACCCTGAGCACCTCAAAGATATATTACTTTCTGTCTTTACAGTAGTTGCCACTATGTAAGAATGTCTTAATTTATGTACTTATTTTCTGTGTCCCCCTCTTCTCCAAGAGCAGGGACTTTGTTTTCCTTGCTCACGGCAGCTTCCTCAGCACCCAGTAGGCGCTGTGCCCTCAATAAATGTGTGTTAAATGAATTATTGCTAGTCCTGAATTAGCAACCCACAGGAAATAAATGCAACACTTAAAACAAGATTATCCAAGCTGTTCCATGACCTTCCATTCAAGCAGTTCTGCTAGCGATTTTGGCAGATGGGATATTAGGTCACTTTGTGTCTAATTCGACAGGATTTTCAGAGCATAAAGATAAAATATCTGAGTAAGCACACTGTATTTTTAGAAATCAGCCAGGTGAAAAAGAACAAAAATGCCCATGGGGACTAAGGGAAAGATACAGATGCCAAAACATTATTTTAGAAAAGGCACTAAATGTGAGGGTACAGGAAGGAAAATTTTCCATAGTACAGAAGAATGTAATGCTAGAAGTCACCTTTCGAAAGAAGCAACTCACTTTTCAATCTGGGAATTGCACTATTCTCTGGGGTGATAATAAGGAAGGAATGGAGGGAACCAAGATGGACACACAAAGGGTGTTTTTGCAGAGGGTGAAGCTGGACTGGGGATGTTTTTCCTGACTTTTCTGGAGAAGGAAACTCAGGTGTACAAGCAGGAGAGTTAGAGGGGGGAGTTGGGCAGAATGTCAGCTCATTTTGGGGGGACACCGGGGCAAGGAGCTATCCTGACTGACTCAAGAACCCCAGGGTGCTTTACACTTTCACTAAGCTAAGCCAACTAGGTTACCAAATATATGATTCAAATTTTTCCCTGTCAAAAAAAAAAAAATCCAAGTTATTCTTGGATACCTCAGAAGGCCAACTCAGCACTTTGGATCTACATTTATAGGTGGGTGTATCTTATCACAATGAAATAAACTACATAACAAAGGCGAAATGGTCTGTAGGATCTGTAGACTAAATTATACTGTAGCACATTAAAGTAAGGTTTAGAGGACTAAACATGGAAGGAAGGGAAACTACATTTGTCCAATCCTTTCAGAAATGAAACATTTCATTCTGGGTCTTTTCAGAGCAACATGTCCTCCCTCCAATAGTCAGAGAGTTCTAACTACAGCCTGACCATGCCCTACTCCCACACACCTCTCGTTTGTAAATTCCTTATTGCAATATTGCAATTTTTTTCCTTTTGTTTTGAGACAAGGTCTCACTGTGTATCCCAGGCTGGTGCTGGCCCCAAACACACAATCCTCCTGCATTATCTTCCAGAGTGCTGAGATCACAGGCGGGAGCCATCACATCCAGCTGCTTATTGCAATCTTAACTACATTTCATTTTCTTTGGATTAATCAACTATTCCTTAGGTATAGCAAGTCTGCCGAAGGCAGATCATGTCACGTTTGGAACATAGAAGAGATAAACATAAATATTTGTAAACTTCCCAACATATCTAAATATATTTATGTGCATATGTTACGTGAATATATCTTTATCCATGCGTATGTATGTGATGCACATATAATTTTGTATATGCATATCTGACTAAAAGAGCTGAGATGCCACTCCACATGTGATTCTGTGATGTAGTGTGATGAGAAGTAATTACCAGCTATGTGACTTGAAAAATAGTTGTTTTCAAGCTGGTAAAAAGAAATTGATCAGAGGAAGTGAGCAAAGAAATATGAAAAAAGAACTAAAGACTTCCTTTCTTCCTCCTCATCTCCCATTGTTTTCTCTCTTCAAGATTCCTCTTGACCTAGTGTAGGAGGATTTGATATATTTCTTAAGCTTTAGGTGACTTTTTAGCCTAAATACTGAAAATATGAATGCTACATTTCAATTCTAGAATTCCTAACCATCAGCATCAAGTGATGCTCAGATAATTTAAGAGGCCAAGAAGGCTTTAGAGAGTATTGAATCCAATCCCTTCACCTTTACAAACTTTCTTGGCTCTGGGTAAGAATGTTCTAGAAGCCAGGTCTTTATACTTCACATCTGGACTCTATGACCTCATGCAAGATGGAAGAAGAAGGCAGCAGAGAGCTTAGACACTGACCCTCCAGGAACAGCTAGTCAAGACCGAACATTCTGTAGCTAGTTATGACTGGAAAATTGTGAGATCTTCCAAGGAGGAGAGAGAGGGATCAACTGGGGGAGACTGGGGGAGTGATTATCTCTCTGCAGGTGCATTATGGGTAAAAGACCATAGGTAGCCACCCAGAAAATAATAATTAGGTCATACAAGAGGGCTGCTTTCAATACAGTGCTGAAGCCTTATGGATAGAACAGACTGACTCCTTTCTAGTTTACTACTGATATGAAAAGTGTTGGGGTTTGCATCACTCTACTCCTCTAAAGCCAAGTGGACATTTTCATAGTAAACAAAATGTTAGATTTCTTTTTTGCCTTCCCTCCTCTCTTCTTTCCTTCCTGTTGTGCCTCTCTACTGCCTTCTTTCTTTTATCCACTTGTCTTTCATCTCATTCCTTCTTCTGGACAATTAGTTTTTATCATGTTAACCATGTTTCCTTTTAATCTCAACTTCCAGAAGTTCAACTTAAACTTTTTAAAATTCAGCCAGTTTTGCTAATCTTTTGGTTTGCATAAATGTTTCCTATTTTTCTTTTCCTTATAATATAGACCATTGCAGGGAAAATAAAATAATCATTTTAATTTTCTGAGAAGGAGATAAGTATAAATCAAGTTCAATGAATAACAAAAATTTTTCAATTAAACCATTTTGGAAAATCAAAAACCCTTTCTTTGGCTTTCTTGTTTATACCACACTAAGAAAACTGTATATAGGGGAGATATGTCCATCCACCTGCCTTATCTCATATGTGATTAAACATCTCCTCACCCTCCAAAGAAATCAGAGAGTTTTAATTAAGCCAGTTATGCAAATCTGGATCTTTATCCACATCTAGGGTTATCCTCTAGGCTCTGGGAATCTTCTTAAACCCTTAACAGTTCTATGTAGAATGATACAGAGAAATCTTTTTATAGACCTACCACTTATGACTGTTCCTGTCTTTTTGAAAATCTACTTAAAGAGTATTTAACCTGTAGACACTATTAAACAGAATTTCCCTTTCTATTAAGGAAAAAAGTATATATAGTTAAATCTTGTTTTACCAAGAAGGGCCAAAGCATTGGTAAAATTCTTCTGAACAACTTCAAAACAGGTAAAGTTTTCAATCTACCTGAAAACTAAGATTGGAACTTGGATATTCAAACTCCATCATTTTACAAACATGAAAATATTTTTTCCAATTCAGCATGATGTGGAGGAGGAGGGGGAAGGGCTGGAAAGTATGCATCCAGGACTTAGCCTCTCTCCCTCAGTATCATTTCCTCAGCATAAGCCCAGCTAGAGCAGGGCTTTTGAATGATGCCTAAAGAGCCTCTGCCAGTGACCCAGCTCCCTTTCCCTCTATCCTCAACCCATTCTCACCGTACAAGGAACCTTACACTTGTGGCTGGACAGATGGGACTCACCACATGTTCACTGATGTCACGGCTGAAGGCGGAGGCCTGTTGACTTTGATAATATTCTAATTGCTTTTCTGCCAGTTCTACCCGCTGCAACAGATTCTCAATAAAGTCCTGGAGCCGAGCTTTACCCTGGACCTCCTTCTCAGCTGCTGCTTCCAGGAAATGGTTAAATGTAACAACTTCTCTGGAATGCAAAAAAATCAGAACAGGAAATATAGAAATGAGAAATTAATTCGCTCAACACATACTGATGGCTGCCTACTATATGTCAATTATCATCTGAGGCAAGGTGGCATGGCAATGACAAAAGAGGTAAGATTACATCTTGGTGGCTACATGTGGAAATTATATTTTGATAGAGGGAGATAGTCACTACAAAATTGAAACAGTGTGAGGCAACAAGGTAACAGAGAAAGGGAAAGGATGCATAATATTTAGGAAGCAAAGTCAGGTGTGACATTTTGGATGGGGAAATATTTGAGCAGAGGCCTGAAAAAGTCCTGAAGAAAAAGCTATATGGATACCTGGGAAGAGCAAATCAGACAAACCAGGGACATGCAGATGGACCTGAGGTACAGCCAGGAGATAAGCCTGGAGGAAGGAACTAGGTTGGACCTTGTTGGTTACTGTGAGAATTCTAGATTTTATTACAAATGACACTGGACACTGGATATCTCTGAGAAAACTTTTGACTTAGATTTTAAAAGTCAGGCTGTTAGAGGAGAAAATTCTACAAAGAAGACAGGTATGAAGGCAAGAGGCCATGATGAGCACCAAAATAATGCATAAAATGAGTCATTTTGCCAATAGTATATTTCTGAGCTAAGAATGCAATAATGCAAAAAGGTACCTTGAAGCCAACCCAAGGTCCATTGGGAAAGCTATCTTAGCACTGACACAGGAGAAGCAATGGGCACATTTCCTTCCTTAAATAACTAAACAAATTCTTCAAACAATGCTCCTCTATCTACACAATTCTTTACAGACTCACAAATCCAGAATATTTATTAACTTTATTATCACTTTACACTTATTTTTAATGGAAGTATGAAAATAACATTTTCCTGAATCATAAACTATATAAGCTCTTTACAAAACGTAATGCAACACATTAACAGTATAAAGAAGGAAAAAGCTGAGATCCCATTATTTTGAAACCATGACCATTAACATTTGGTAGCCATTCTTATGAGCATCTTTTTTACACACACACACACACACACACACACACACACACACACACACACACACACTTCCCTATTTTTCTGTCCTTACCCTAAACCATCAATTACCTTCTCCATATCTCTTTTCCAGGCCAACCACGAGGCACTTATCACTACCAAAAGATGTACCTTACCACAGTACTCTTCACCATATGGCTTTCACTCTCATCTCTCTTTCATCTCTTTTGTATGTTCTTCCATCCCTATTGGTTTAATGGATTCCATACTTTTACTACCTATCAGATATAGTATTTCCTTTATGTGTTTTCAAAATCTCTCTTGGGCACCAAGGACTAGCTTCTCACTGTTCTGGCTTCATTCAACTTATGTAGTCAAGACTAAATACTCTGATCACTATCCCATCAGCCTCTTTCAACACAAGTAATGGACACTAATTTTTGTGTATTTAACCTCATTCGGTCATCCTAGACAGTCAACTAAATTCACTGGCTGTTGAGTACCCTTTCAACTCTACTTAATCTCTTTTTCTCATGAAGCTTCATCATTTCTTAAGAGCAGACGTTTAGGGGAATCTAGTTCAAGAAGTCAGAGTTTTAAATATGATCTTTGTAAAATGGCTGGTAGTGGCTTCTAGCACCTTTATTCTATATGACTAGTCAGTATGCTCTTAATAACTAGTCATGGTATTTCTGTAGAAAATATACTATGTTACACTTGACAATACTGAAACATTACTGACACTTTCTACAGTCACATATCCCTGCCAAACCTTGGAAATTATATATTTATAAAAACAGAAAAAAGACGACTTTAATAATGATTCACTTGAAGCAATGCTTATGATACCATACACCTTTTTTCCAGTTTTCTATCCAGGATCAGACATAAGCCTTAATTGCCTAATAACTCCATTATCTTTGGTAGCTAAGAAATCTCTACCTAAGAGTCCTTTTGGAAAAGAGCTTTCTTTCATCATCAAATTTCAAGTGTGTTTTTATGTTTCCATATAAGCCCTCAACAGAAGATGTGTACTTTCCAATGTCTTTGACCTGGATATTCAGGCCAGAGACACAAGCCAATATTAAAACTCCACTATCATTTGTTTGGTTGGTCGGTTAGTTGTAGTGTGGGGGATCTAACCTAGGGCCTTGCATAAGGTAGGCAAGTACCTTACCACTGAGGTATATCCCCAGTGCAGTCATTTGCTTTGATCTGCCTTTTACGTGAGCCACCAACCTTAAGTAGCAGCAAAAGAGTAGAGAGTCCATCCAGGTGCTACACCCAGCCTTTACGTGGATCCTTTTGGTTTAGATCCTATGGATGGAGCACTATCATGCAGAACAAAACACTTAGAACACGGCCCAGGAAAATGGCTTCTGCATCTTCTTTCAGACATTAAGTTGTCAATTCATGTGGACTCATTGAAGAGATTTCCTAGGTGATATTTATGATAACTGAATCATGAAAGTTTCCAAATTGTACTTACAGAGGAAACACAAAAGGCCAGACATTATTTTCCCAATTCATTATGTCTTTATAATATTTACTGTATTTATCATAACAGAGATATTTCATATTTATGGGAAATATGAAACTGACCTATTAGAGAATCCAACTGGGCAAGGCTGAGTCAACAGGACAGGGGCTTTGTTTTTTGTTGTAAGCCTCCCCACTCAACATAGTGCTTTACACTGCAATTAATGTTGAGACAAGGGAAAAAAATCAACCATAATCCCAACAACCAGAGGTAACTATTATGAACATCCTGGTGTATTTCTTGCAGTCTTTCTTCCTATCTACTATTCCTAGACTCTCACATATGAGAAGACAGCAATATTTTTTTTTCATTTTTCTTTTATTATTCATATGTGCATACAAGGCTTGGTTCATTTCTCCCCCCTGCCCCCACCCCCTCCCTTACCACCCACTCCACCCCCTCCCCCCCTCAATACCCAGCAGAAACTATTTTGCCCTTATCTCTAATTTTGTTGTAGAGAGAGTATAAGCAATAATAGGAAGGAACAAGGGGTTTTGCTGGTTGAGATAAGGATAGCTATACAGGGCATTGACTCACATATTTGACAGCTTAATCTCACAGGCTTAATACTGTAAAAGAAACAGAATAAATCTGAATGCAACACTGCTTATAACTGCAGCTGTATTTTTAAATCACATAATGCTTTGCTGCATTATTATAACTGTTCCTAGTGTTATGCCATGTTGTAGAAGGAAAGGATCTTTTCTAACCTCCCTCATCCAATTAGCTTATGCCCTGAAGCTGAGACATTAATAACTTTTGTATTTTTTCAACCAACCTGGCACTGATGTTAATTTAACTTCAGTTTATGAAAGTATCTTATCAACCAGAAATTTTAAAATAAGCCTGATGGTTTAGTATGATTTTCTTCTAAAAGAGAAGTTAAATTCACAAGACGAGGGTTAGAGAAATTCATTGTATTGCTATCTAAAAATAACTACAACGTATGGTTATTAGATGAACTCAGCATCAAAAGTGAGGGATTGTAAAACAGCAGCTCCTCCTTTCTTACCCTGTTGATCTGGATGAACCATCTCCAGAACAACTTCGCTATTTCCCCAAGGAATCTGGGCAACTTTCTGAATGGGAAAGAAAGAGGTTTAACTACATTGTATTTGTAACCTCTTTAATAATTATACTCCAAACAGTAAAACAGTTATTTAAAATACCAGACAGACCAATGTAAGAAGGCAGAATGTTCATTCGTATGGTTTCAGATCCCACATTGTAGTTAATCTTTAAGAAACTACCCACTGTTGCTTTTTGGCACAGAATCAAAATAGAACAGACACTGATGTCTGAAAGAATATTAAAATATCCCTCAATTTTCCTACTGTGTATCTCTGTGAGACTAGACTTTCTTCCTGTACTTAACCAAAACAGTGAATTTGTACCAGCTGAAATGTATAACTTCTAAAGACCTGCTGCTTTCTATGAAGTCAGTCATTAAAGTATTTGCAGTTCTTTTAAAACAGTACCACTCTTTTTTACTAAATTGCTTTTGGGAAAAGAGTTTTCATAAAAATATGCTATTTATATTAACATGTAGTGGATATATGTGATGGGAGAGGCATTAAAAGAAGCAAACACTAAAATACATAATTACTAAGCTGAGCTGACTATGACTAAGGAAAAGAATACTATGATGCTATCAGAGCAGTTAAGACTTCTGTGGCTTTATTTTTGGTTCTCACCTCTCCAACTCAGAATACAGTGTGAAGCTGCAGGCGAGATGAGAAGATAAGGACAAACCTGAGTGAAATTCCATCAGGGCTTGGGGACAGACCAATTTTGGGGAAATTAATTTTAACTGGTTCTAGGCCACTTCTGGCTGTGACTTTTTATTCACTTAAAGAGCGAAAAAAAGATCAAATACATTTAATTTCAAGATTTTATAGAAAATATGCTTACTTAAAGCATTAGTTAACTCCAAAGGAAAAAATGCCAATATAATATAATATAATAAGCTGACCTTGACGTTCATTATCCTGTAGAATAATTTGCAGACCTGCGAATCTGACAGAATCCCAGGATTCACAGGCATTCAGAAAGTACCACAGAAGAAGTTAATAACTTTTGTATTTCTCAACCAAGCTAGCCTTATTATGCTAACCTAATTTCAGTTTGTGAATGTATCACATCAACTAGAAAAAAAATACTGTTGAAATAAGCCTGAGAATTTAGTATGATTTTGTTTTATTTTTTTTTTTCTTTTATTATTCATATGTGCATACAAGGCTTGGGTCATTTCTCCCCCCTGCCCCCACACCCCCTCCCTTACCACCCACTCTGCCCCCTCCCTCTCCCCCCACCCCCTCAATACTCAGCAGAAACTATTTTGCCCTTATTTCTAATTTTGTTGAAGAGAGAGTATAAGCAATAACAGGAAGGGACAAGGGTTTTTGCTGGTTGAGATAAGGATAGCTATACAGGGCATTGACTCACATTGATTTCCTGTGCATG